AAAGCTCCAGCTCCAGTTCATCCTCATTGAGTTCATATCCCTTTGCAGTATGAGTGAGGTGCCAGGCTGAAGAGTGGATACAGGATGCCAGTCAGCCTATCTTTTCCCACCCCCACTGCCCTTGCTCTCCCTCCCACTCGCTACACGTGCGCTAATCTTCCTCTTGTCTTGTGTTCTCACTTTTCTTGCAGTCGCTGTGAGCGCTTGCCTTGTAATGAAAATAAGGAGTGCCAGAGCCTGCCTCTGAGAATAACCTACTATCACCTCTCTTTTCCCACCAACATTCAAGTACCCACCGACATTTTCCGCATGGGTCCTTCCAATGCTGTCCCTGGGGATAAAATTCAGCTGTCCATCATCAGCGGGAACCAGGAGGGGTTTTTCACCACAAAAAAAGTGAACAACCACAGTGGCCTTGTGGTCATGCAGCGTCCAATCACAGAGCCCAGAGACCTTCTTCTGACAATTCAAATGCGACTTTCCCGCCACGGAACTGTCAACACATTTATTGCCAAGCTTTTTATCTTTGTCTCTGCACAGCTTTGATCCCTCACTTAACAGTCATCATTGGCTACTCTTTCTCTTCTAAGAGTAGCTTTTTTTTCCCCTCAATTTTAATAAAGTTTTAGTTCATCTGTTGCATGCTGCACTTGCATTTTGTTTGCCATCATCATTACAGTTTTCCACTTTCCCCTATAACTGAACATCTTAATTTGTGGAGATTCTTCTGTATACTCTGCATCATAATACAAAGCAGAAGTTGGTGTCTAAGAGTTCATTACCTGAGTATACTGAGGACTGAAAGCCATTAATTTACTTCACACAGTCAACTGATCATACACAGTTATATAGATTTAGGTCTAAATTTTCCAAAGAAAATAGGTACATATTTTGAACTGTCTCAACTGAGACATCTCTCGAAAATTCCATCACTTATGCAGCAAATAGTGTGCATTTTCTGAAAATCTGTTAAAAAGGCATAACTTGGACCCTTAGGACCCCTGAGGTGCCCCAGCACATGGGTCAGTATAAAAGTTGCAGCCAGATTCTCAAGTTGTCCTATTTATTGTTGCTCTGTTGTATCCCGTGAGCTAATACTGATTTCCACCAGGTACAGATCCCAGTTCTAGCTTCTAAGGATGGTACAAAAGCTAATCTCCTCTAAAGAACATTTATTTGAGAGACATTTCATCTTTCTTTCTGTGGAGTTTTTGCTGAATGGAAAAACTAATGACAGCAGAACAGCAATGAACTTCATAACAGCATTCAGCTAATAGCAGAGAGCTCCTTTCTCTTTCACAAGCTGTATCCTGAAACATTCCCATCTACAGGAACATTTGAAAAAGATATTTGATTTGTCTCATAACACTTTTGTCTCTCTAGCTTTCATATTAAAGCTGATAAATTTTGACCAGTAAAGACTTTATCCACAACTACCATCACACCAAATCATAAGTGCTCTGAAAAGTCAGCCAGAATTCCAATATCCAAATCTTTCTTACTTTGCTTTGACTTTCTTTGTTTACTTCTAAGCAGTCAAGAACAATACAACTGGAATATCTTTGGAACTCTTTTGTTTTCTGAGCTGGAAGAGGATTTATTTATTACACAGAGTCCTTGTGCTGATAAATATTAAAAGCTCACTCCCAGAGATATGATCCAAAAATTAATGTTCTACACTACCCTGGGCTCACTTATCTCTGCTGCTCATTAGAAAGGCAGAACAGTCATTCCATAGAAGAACGGGGAATAATCCATGTGAATGCACCTATAGAAAAAATATCTCACTATGTAAGTGCTGACAGCACAGTCAGGGTACAAGGCTGGAAACTGGGAGCCTTCTAAAGCAAGATCATGAGCCTTAATCACCTGAGCACAGGGAATGACTCCACTAGCTGGAAGCTGCAGGCTCCCAGGCTCATCCTCAGCCAAGGCCTGGATCAGGGCAGGATTGCAGCACTCTGCCAGGGTATTGCATGTTCCCCAAGGCAAAGTTTATCACAGCTGGCTGACAGGAGTTCAGGTCTCATAAGGAATGCCAGGCTTATTAAAGCCTGTTGACACATCCTTATAAAGGTGCCAGAAGTTGCCAGTGGGGAGAGAGTCCCAGGTTTAAATACTGAGAGCACAACTCCATGATACTTGAGCTAGTGGGGTTAATATAAATATAATATTCTGCCACAGTATTTACATATATGTAAATACTCTCTAACTACCACTTTCTTATGAGGCCATAATGAAGTAGGATAAATATTCCAAAATAAACTTCATTTTTGCAAACATTAATATATATTTTTTGGCAGGAAAAGAAGGGAGTTTGAGAACAGGGCCCTCAGTGTTGTAAAATGCTGTCACATTAATTGTATTTAGCAAGGAATTCAAGAGCACAAAGCTCACCTTCCACTGTGTTAGATGCTTGAATACTGCAGTGTCACTGGGACTTTAAGGAGCGTGTAGGTAATTCCATAGTGCTATTTATATTTTCCAAAGGATAATTAAATCACAGCTCCTGGTTCAAAGAATTATTGACTGAATCTAAGAGACAATATGAAAAGAGTCATACCAGAACCTTAGAAGAATGAAAAGATTATACTCAGGAAATAATCAGAGCAGCTGAGCTGTTTCTTAACTTTCTTCTCTTTAAATGAAAATGCCCAGAGGGAAGAGGATCTCCAAAGCTGTAATTTGTGCTAGAGGCAGAAAGCTTGAAGGAAAGGTACAAATAAAAAAGTTCTCATCACTGAGGAAGAAACTTTTGCCTGTCATAGTCCCCACTGTAGGAGAACATGAGCAAAATGGAAAATATCAGCTAATCAGAAGATGAAATGCAAAGATGATGTGTAAGGATAAAATTATTAAGTATTATGAGAACAGAGCATATAATTTATAGCAAATATCAGGATTTGAGATAGATGTTAGTTGTGAAAGAAGTTACTTCAGTTCAGAGATGTCCAAAAGATGAAGCAATGAGAGAACAAAGTGTTATCAACTGCACTTTGGGTATCCTGGCTTGAGGCAATTAGCAGGGATAGCAAAAGAAAGGTGAACAGAGAGTGAGTATAATGAAAGAACAAATTCCAGTTTAGCAGTGTAGACAGAGCATGCAAAAAACCCCAAAAGTTAGTGGAATTTGTAAGAGGAGTGACAAAAGGTGCAAAGAAATAGAGCTGACACAGACATTTATCTGTCACAAGTGTGGTTTTGAGCTGGATGGATCTAAAAACTCAGTTTAGATGAGAGCTAACAAAAATCACTTGTGATCATTGAGATCCTCTGATCTGTACCAAAGTCATGTCAGAAGGCTTTATTCCACAGGTGAGAACTATGAATGCAAGTCTTATTTAGGACTTCATCTTTCACTAAATTATGGCTTTATTGGCAGAGTATTTCAGAAATCCTTGTATTTGCCTTTTGTTCCAGCTGAAGTTGAGAGTAAAGCTCCCTTTAATTCCCAGGAGGAAGCAAAAGGAGACCACTACTGAATGCCTGAGACACTCCCATCACAATGTTTTCTGCATACAAATTCTATTATCTAAATACAGTAGTTCAGGATATTCTATGTATTCTAACAGTACTTAATCTGCAATAGTGTCCCAAAAGAACAATTACAACTTACTGTAAGTGAGGTGTCTAGGACATGACAAGATTTTGTACACAGATAATGGTGGAAAGCAAAAGGGAACAGGCCACATCTTCTGGCCTGTATCTCCTGTCCAGTCTCAAAACATCAAGTACAGGGTGTGAATATCAGGCTCAGCTGGTGTTTATTAACTCAGCTCTGTTGCCTCCCCATGGACTGTGCCAGTTCACATCAGCTGAAGCATGAGTTCCTTGATGTTGATTTGTGTTTTCCCCTTATTTAACTTCATACTGTATCATCATGCTCGGTTTAATTTTTTTTGATGAGCAGAGTTGGGAATATGTAAGGAAATTACTGATAAATTGATTATAAATAGAGCCATAAAGTCCCTTTGAACATCTGAAAAAAATGTTTTGTAGGTGTGGGCTGGGATAAAACATTTTGAAAGGAGCAAGAATGATTTGTTTTTAGAACAAAATAAATCTTCCTTTTTTTGTTTCCCTTTAACTCAGTAATTTTTCCTTACTTTTAATCTTTTAATTCCTCCCTCTCTGACACTGCAGCATTTTCTTTTTCCACTTAGAAATATGTAGAAATGGGCAGGTCAAAGTTGAGATCATTTGTGGGGCTTAGTCACATTTGAAGTCCCAGCACAGCCCTTTCATCTCTCATGAAGACAGAGTGGGCATTGTGTGAAGTTCTTGAACTGTAAGTGACTTTGAATTCACTCTAGTGGACAAGGGTGAGAAGTCATTTAACTTTTAATAGACTTTCAAGGCCGAATGAGCAGCTGCTTGAGATGGAATATGAAATGATCCTTACCATTTCCCCAAGCTCAGAATTCAACCTTTGAGATTTTAAATAATGTGGTTAACTTTTTCTCCCCCCAGTTTCCATTTCTCTCTGTTTTCTCAGTTCTTTCAGATGGAAAGGGTGTGAAAAAAAACTTAAAAGAGGCTCTTCTGGCCCTTGCTACACTGAAAATCATGAAAGTTGGCCCTTTACATAGTTGTGCCAGGTTTCTAAAACAGAAACAATTCTGTCTGCTTCATATGTCTTGAGTAAAAAAGGCTTGTGCCAGTAGAAGTGGCTCCACTGCAATTGCTGAGAGCAGGCCAGCTGAGAGGGTGTGGGTCTCACTGCTTGGTCCTGTTTGTCCTTGGGAAAGGACATTGCATGGCATCTTGGGCACTCTTTGTTTTCACATGCCTGGCTTGAGGAACTGGGTTTGAGGGGGTTTTAACTCTGAGCCAAACCAAGTTCTTCAGGGGTCCCCAAGTTCTGATGAACTGCATTTGTCTAAGTTTCTGTGGTGAAGAATCAACGCTTATATCAATTACAGTTTCTGGCTCCCTAGATTGCAAAACACAAAGTATTTAATATTCAGCCTATATATGAATCTCTTTTTGGTTTCTCTTAGTGTCAGACTAGAAAAGACAGATACCATCCGTTGCATTAAGTCTTGTCGACCAAATGATGTCACCTGTCTGCTGGATCCTGTCCACACAATTTCCCACACTGTCATTTCACTGCCCACGTTCAGAGAGTTTACAAGACCTGAAGGTAAGTGGTTTGTTCCTTGTTCCATTTAATAGACTGCAGCATATAAAACCTGCACTGGAAACCCTTGCCTAAAGCCAGACGCACTACCAGTGCAGTAAATGTTTGCACAGCTCCAAATTATAGTTTACCATTCATTTAATTAAAACCTTCGATACCCAGGAGTTTTAATTTTATGGAGGAAAGAAAGTCATTCTGAGCTCTAACCCATACTGCTTCCCAAGAAATATTGACTCTGAATTCCCATGTACCACATGTACTCACACAATAGACATATGCCCCATGACATATTTTCTTCTCTTGTTTGCAGATTTTGCTGTAAGAACAAGGTACTAAATATATTTCTCTCATCTGTCTATGACCTGTTATTTGCTACTGACAAGTGACTTGTTCCAAGAATAAAAACCTTACATGCAGACATGAATCACAAAATAAATTACATTGAGTATATGATGATTGGCTGATTTTTGACCTGTGAACAAAGTGTTGTTCATTATAGATTAAAGGAAAGAAAATTGCAAAGACTGGGCAGAAAGTTTTTAAGACAAGAATTTCAAAAAGCACCCAACTGAGGGGCTGTCATCTGCAGTACTTTCAAGTTTTTAAGTCCTGCAGTTTCACACTCACTTTTCACTCACTTTCGTAGCTCACATAAAAACTAAAAACTTACAGATCAAGAGCCAGTTTTTGCTCCTTGCCATTTGTATGGATTTTCTGGCAATGCATCCATCAGTGGATGACTGCCTGCAGTCCTGCTGCTCTCAGCACTTTACTAAGTGGCACAGACACAGAGAGAAGGGTATGGAGGTAAGAAAGGTTATTTTGGAGGGGTTTCTAAAGGTCTTAAATCCTCATTTCTGATGCACCCAAAGTCTCAGCCTGGCTGTTTCTGAAGGTTGTCCTAAATGAAAGCCAAAGCTGACTCTTCCCTTCTGCACCAGGCAGGAGTGGAGAAAAAGACATCCCAGTCCTTGCCCAGACAGGAACAATTTAACCACTGATGCAGAGCTCCTGTAGGTTCTGTTTCAGGCCTTGGCTGGCCCTGCTTCACAGGGAATGGAGGAATGCCCCATGGCCACTTCTGCTCCCATACATACCCCTTCAGCTCCACCAGGTGTACTGGCAGCAGAGCTAAGGATTTGGCCCAGGATGCTTCCTCATTAGTCCATCCTCATATTTTAATAAGAGATGAGACCTAGTGATCTGAGATTACTGCTGAAGCCCAGAAGATGTAAACTGTAATTCAGTGCATGGCCTCAGGTGAATTCTTACAGCTCCAAGTCTGGTTTCATCATCTGTAGAGTGAGGATAATAATGAGAGTAATAATACCTCCATCCCTCACAAGGGACTTGAAAATAGTCTCACTTTTCTTTTTAAACCTAAAGATCTCCAGTACTCCAAAGGACTCTTTAATTTGAAATGGCAATACTTTGTGTAACTGCCATGGGGAATCAGAGTGGAGAGATTTGTCTGTTTGGCCCCTTCCTCAGCCCAGCCTGTAGATCCTTGGTGTTGTCCTCTTTGGGTACATGCTGGAAATCTGATTGGCTTCTTCAGAGCAGTATTTTTTGATTTGAAAAGTAAGAGCGTTTTGGCTTCAGGGCCCTTGGATGGTGAAAACAGGAGGAGAAAGCCAATCTATCCAAATCCTTGCTTCCCTTAGATCTTGTGCTTTTCCATTTTAAAGGACGAACTGGGAGTGGTAAGGGAGGGTAATATCTTCCACCAACTTTGAGGACAAGTCATTTTGGATCAAATTCTGTTGGATTCTCCAGTGATGTTTTCAAATACTTGTCAGTGCATTCTGTGATACTCTTTACTTGCAGAGATTATTTTTCTTCGTGCCATCACACCTACATATCCGGCCAACCAGGCAGATATCATATTTGACATTACAGAAGGAAATTTAAGAGATTCATTTGATATCATCAAGCGTTACATGGATGGTATGACAGTGGGTGAGTAGTGTTTTCTGCCTACTTTCTTCTTTCAACTAACTGTAGGACAGGGTCACAGAAATTAATTAAAGTCATTAATTCCTACCTTTATTTCCAAGCCAGTGTTGATTTCATATTCTTCAGTCCAATATGTGTAATTTGAACTAATATCACAGATAATTTTGTATGCAAAATACCAGAGGCCTATTCTTTAATTTGGGAAGTATTTTAAATTTTTTTTTTCAGAACTAGCCCTAACTAAAAATGCAAATGGCTTAGTTTTAAAATGATGAGGAACCTAATGTAACCAGGAGCAGTTGGCAAATGATGTTAGGGAGGAGGGCAAGAGCAGATCCCAGCTGATGTATTGCTCTGCCCAATGGGAGCTGCCCAGGCAGTGGGAGGAGAATACACTGGAATCCTCCTGCCAGGTATTAAAAAGTAGCATTTGATTGCTTTTTATTCATGTTTATTTATGAAAAGAAAGACTCCTGTTCCCAGTGAACCCTTGTGCTTTGGAATGTGAACATGCAGATTCTGCTCAGGTTCATACATGTGCTTCAGCAGGACTTGTCCTGGGGAAAAGAAAAAAATCACTGCAGCTTTCATAAGGAGGGCTGTGAAAAATCCCTATTTCCCGTGGTCTGAAGGTGGCACTGGTGCATTTCAGAAGCAGGATAGCACAATGTCAGCTCTGCAAAGGTTTTATGAACTGTAGATAAAAATCCCAAGTCATTAGGTTTCTATTTCTTTCTTGATCAAACAGAAGTATACATGTGAATGCTGAGAAAAAGGGAGAGTCTGTTAAAACAGGATAAGATTACAGATTTCAGTTATTGGGGCATTTCTTTAGCAGAGTATAAATGTTATCAGATCTCAGGGGAGTTACAGTAGTTTGCTTTTCGTGCCGTGTGCTTCTTTCTGTCTGAAATAAGAAAGAAGGATGTGTTTGGAAATTCGACTGGCCAAGGTATTTGCCTGAGGGAAGGGTTCCCATTTTGAAGAGCAGGACTGTGTGTCAGTAGTATTTTACTTGGTAAACCGGATTATTTGCCTCACATTGTAAAGAGAGAAAGGATATTCTTATACACTGAGTTGAGAAGATATGGTGCATGCCCAAGTGTATTCCCAGCTCTGTGAAAGAATTGGGCAACCCTTTCTTCACCTCAGTTCCCCCTGTGCAACATGGAGATGATAAAACATGCCTACTACTGTTTAATTAATTCTTGTGTGTAAGACTCTTAATTAATTCCTCTATGTAAAAGTACTTTGAGATTAATGGATGGAAGCTGCAAAGAAAACTGCCTACAGCAGAATTGGAAAAGGAAAATCAAAACAACCCCCCAGCTGAAATTACCTGGAGGGGCAGAGGTTCAGGACAGCACGTTGTCTGTGTGATATTAGGATTGCAAATAATTCTGCCATCAGCAGTTCTGCTGCTCTCATCATAATATAATTTTTATTATTATTATTAATAATAATCAGAATGTTAGGTGTTTCTTTAAAAAGTTCTGGGAAGCTTTCAAGACAAATCAGATGGGATCCTAGTCCATGAGAATTCACAAAGGCCCTGTTTTAAAGAAAGAGAAGGGTTTGTGTAAGGGAGGAAAACCCCAAAGGGTATAGACAGTATCAGAAAGCTTTAGTGTTTATCCCACTAAGTTACAGGGACATCAGAACTGTGTGGAACACAGCAACTCCAGCAGAGCAAATGCCCAACTAGGGCAGTAACAGAAGGGTTTTCAGGAGTCTCTGTAATTACAATGTTCCAGCTTGTTGAAAAATCAATTTATGCACTTCTGGGAGAGCATACCTGGACCATCATGCTGGATCACATATACCACTGGGATCCATGCAGCATATTTTAAAATATTTTTATACATACTTTTTATGTCTTTTTGCTGCCTATTTAGGAAAGAATACATTTATTTTATAATAAATCATAAATGCACTGGTAAAAGAAACAAGAAGCATGCTTCATTCTGTTGTACTGTTTCAGGAGAAATGGCCAGAACATCAAAGCTATTTTGTCTGCTAATGGAAATTAGATCACCAAATATCTTTTTTTTTTTACAAGACTAATTTTCTCTACAAGAGATTTTTGATTGGGTAGTTTGGTTTTTTTTGTGTTAAAGACATGGACTAGTTCAGGGCGTGATGAAATAAATAAGAGTATATGGAAAAAAGTAGGAAAATAATAACCAGAATTGCTGAAAGACCTCAGTATAATAAACCCTGACTCAGTGTCAGACTAGAGGAAGCTGACGAAGGGATTCAGAGAAAGGAGGGAGCACTGGGAAAAGAGGGGGAGGAAGGACAGACCAATGAAGATGCACTTGCAGGAAGACCCTCATTAGTGATACAGTTTTAGGCTGTCACTAACAAGGACAGAGGTGGTGCCTTAAGAAGGACCTCATGTAACCTGTGCTTGTGTGAATGCAAAAGAACAAGATGCCCTCAAAGTGCAACTGGGGGAAAAAAAAAGTGAAAAAGTACAGTTATTTTGGGGAAGGTTTAAAGAGTGGGAGGAGCTGTTAGAGACAAAGTTACAGAAGAAAAGTGGGGGGTTCAGCACTGAGAATTTTGGGCTGAAAAGATTCAGGTTACCAGTTTCAGCCATTACCCCTCTAAGCTGACACTGAAACTTAGGGAAGCTGAGTTTTGTGGGAGCTGGGATGGAGAATGGCTGAGCAGGCTGGTTTGTGCTTTTCTGAGGTCATTGGAGGAGATGAGTGTGAAGGAGCAGCTGTGAGGTACACAAAAGAAGAAAATAGAGGCAGAGGAAAGGACTGCCCCAGGGAATGTTACAAAAAGAAAGAACACAGCCTCCCAAAAGATATGTAGAAGAAGTAGGCCCAAAGGTAGGAGAAGAAAGAGGCAAGGACAGTATGGCAAAATCAAGGAAAGAAAACATATCAAACAGGAATCAATGATGGGCACCATCAGACATGGAGGAGCCAAAAGAACTAAGAACAAACTCTAGAAGTAGCTCTGCTGACCGACAGAAAATATCTTCCAGTGGAAGAGGAAGAATGAAAGCCAGATTCCTGGAGAGGCAGCGTGTAGACTTCACACAATCTGATGAAAAAGAATTGTATAAAAAGCTGCTTCCTATATTTTTACCCTGTTATATGAAAAAAAAAAGTGCAAATCCCCAATCCTGGGGATTTCCTGGTTCAGAAGGTGCCGAGGACTCCTTGTTTCCTGGTGTGGTTACAGGCCAAGGGGGCAATGAATCTAAATGATATTGTTAAAATCCTAACATCACTTACTAGCATGGTGGGAGAAAAACAGAAGTGCAGACCTATCCAGGTTTGGTGTTTCTTTAAAGCTTTTATAGACTTTTCACTGCATTCCTCCTTTAACCAGCTGTCAGTGAAAAATGAAGAATGCATTTTCAACCTGTGCAAAAATGTCCTATCAGTGCCTAAGGTATTATCAGTTGCTATAAAACACTTTCCCCTTCAGCTATGCATTCATTTTTTTAAAACAGTAATCCCACCTTGTAGTCTGGTAAACTTCAGGAACGTTTAAAAATTTCATAATACATCTAAAAGTAGTTTTGATAGGCTGAAATCTTCCATATTGCATTTGGTTAATAATCTAAGCCTATAGCCTTGCCTATAAAGCAGATTGGTGCTATTCTTCTGGAAAACATCCAGAGCCAATATAGATATAAAAAGTCACTGTAAGAGTTTCAATGGGGGGTTGTGCTGTTGTTTGAATGCTCACTGATACAGACTACTGCTCTCCATTGCTATTTGCAAGGGTTCCATTGCTGTCTCTGTCCCAAATTTCCTGCCTCTTTTATGTGGGTACAGCTTGTGATGCTACTTTTGAACCACTGAAGTGTCTCAACTACTGATAGCACTATGCTGGATTTGTCACTAACCTAACTTCTACTGTGGTATCATGATTGTTTAGTGTGCTCCAGAGTCTGAGGAGAGACTTGCCAAAAATGATCAAGAAAATGAACAAAATTGGGTGCCATGAGCAAGTGTGTTTGTGAGATCCCATATTAGTTGGGGCAGGAGAAGGAGATTCGAGATTTGTTTGACTTCTGTGGCCCCTGTCCTTAGCACAGGGGTAGTAGCTCTGTATCTCCTAAGTAGTTTGGCCAGTAGCAGTGTGGCAGTCTTTCTACAGTCCTCCATGCAAATGTTTGTCTGACATTAAATTCAGTCATTGGTCTGCAAAAGATTTGGTTCTGAACTTTGTCCCTGAACTTTGTCTCCATTGCCGGGCAAGTGCCTTCACATTTCCCTCTGCTCCTCTCTCCTTCTCTGTTCCTCCAAACTCTGTCTTTGGGCCGGAGCCTGACTGGTTCTTACTGTGTTTTGGTGTTCAGCAAAATGTTTCCCAGACTCATGTGGGCTTCCTGGCACAGCTGGTGCTGGAAGCAACATTTCACTACAGCTGGGTTCCTGTGAGGCAGGGAGGTGTAGAGCCAGGGCATCCAGGCAAGCTCTGCTGCTTACAGGGGCAAGGAGAGAGAACACTTATCTCCCCATGTGGATACTCTTTCTAGAAAGTAAGCAGCAATAGGAACATTTTGTTGTGATTATAATGTCATTAGTGTGAAACAACAGTGGGGTCTGGCCATACAAAACTGGTGCTGCCCAGTCATTGCCAGGCAGCTCATGGAGCAGGACAGAATTCAGTAGGTTTTTCAACAGGGCTTTGCAGCTGTACATTCAAAAAGACACAGTCCCTTTCAGTATCTTAATTCTGGTTTGATCCCTAGGCTTTCTCTCTCACAAGAGGACCTCCTCAGAAAGGAATATTGTGTGAGTTTTCCTCTGTGCCAGGCTGCCCTGTTGAAATCAGCAGCAGTGCATTTGAGATGAGGGTGCCCAGAAGCCATTTGGTAAATGGGATCCTGGATTTGCTGCCTAAACCTGCCCTTTCAGGATGCTGCTGACTGCACTGCTCAGTAGTCAAATTGTTCAACACCCTCCCTCCCCTCCAGAAAAAAATGAGGATGGAGAGCTCTTCTAGGGGCTAAGAAGCACCTTGAGCAG